TTGCCTTTTTCTTTGGATCTCCATCCGTTGGTGTGCCATATCATGGATTCTTTTGACTTATGTTTGCAGGCTTGGTATTTAGATGATGGCACTATTATTGGTGACTCCTTGGTGGTAGGAAAGGTTATGGAGTTGATTTTAGCGAAGGGACCTCGTCTCGGCCTCCATGTAAACGTTGAGAAAACGGAAGTTTTCTAGCCCACGGAGGACCCACGTAGCCGTCTCGTTGGTGTCTTTCCTCCAAATATTGCTCGTCCTGTACATGGTGTTAAGTTGCTTGGTGGTCTTGTCAGTGCAGATTCCTCTTTCTGTGGTGAGCTTGTTTCGCAGAGAGTGTTGAAGACCATTGTGCTAATGGATGCTGTTGCTAAGCTTGATGATCCCCAATGTGAGTTGTTACTACGTCATGCGTGTACTGGGGTTTCAAAACTCTACTTTTCTATGCGCACTTGTCCCCCTCGTCTTTTTGAAGCGGCCCATATTTCTTTTGATGTGGCCCTTCGGGCTTCTTTGTAGCACATTGTTACTGCTTCGGGGCCTGGTTTTGGTGATTGGCAATGGAGACTTGCCACCTTACCTTTTGCTTACGGTGGTCTAGGTGTTTATTCAGCGGGTGATGTTCAGCACTATGCTTTCCTTGCGCCGCGTTTGCAGTCTTCTGGTGTTCAGGCTACGCTTCTTTGCAATTCTGGTATTGTGGATCCGAGACCGGCCTTCGATGATGCTCTTAGTCTTTTTAATAGGACTGTGGAGATTAATCTTTTGAGTAACCCTAGTGAGATCGCTGCCCCCAAACTCATGAAGAAATTGGCAGATTTATATTTTACGAAGGTTATTGCATCTGCAACATCCATTTCCTCCTTATCTCTGCGTTAGGTTGCCTTATGGAAATCCCAGCAGAGGGATCACAATTCTTCCTGGTTGCGAGTGGTCCCAATATTGAGGTTGGGTCAGACTATGAACTGTAAGGCTTACCGTTCTGTTCTTTGCTACCGGTTGGGTGTTCCTTTGTTCTCCGTTTCGATACCGTGTTCTGCAAGCTCAATGGTTTTCGATGGAGACATTTTTGGGGATCATGCAGTGTCTTGTGTTGGGATGGTGGGTATTAAACATCGACATAATGTTGTTTGCGATACCCTTATTGATATTTATTTTCGGTATGGGATTTCTGCAAGAAATTAGGTTAACGTTGGGTTGACTGGAGGGAACGACGAGGCTCTTCGACCTGTAGATGTGCTACTTAATTCTTGGACAGAGGCCTTGATGTGTGTGTTGACTTGACGGAGTCTTCTCCTTTAACACAATATGGGTTGTCTTACTTCGTTCCTGGTCGTGTTGTGTCAGTTGCTGCTCAGTGGAAGCGGGACAAATATGCGGTGCGTTGTAGGGCTATTGGCTATGCTTTTCTTTCTTTCTCCTTTTCTTCATTGGGGGAATTATAGAAGGATGTTGTTGCGTTGTTGAAGCGGGTTCAAGCGTTTGCTAGGACTCAGGATATTGGTGCTCGTGCAGCTGCTCAAATATTTAGCAGGATCGAGTTCGCTATAGCTAGAGGGGTGGGGGCCCAGATTGTATCTTGGCTCCCCACTAATTTCTTGTAATTTGGTTGACTTTGTAGGTTTTTGTAATAATAATAATAATAATAATAATAATAATGAAATCTGCTCAGTTGAAATCTGCTCTGATCTAATCTGCTCTGCTTTGCTATACTTTGCTCTGCCTAGAAGCTCAAAAGAACAGGGCCTTTGTCTAGCCTTGATTATTTATAGTTAAGAACAAATATAATCATGTAGGATCTTGTTAGATTCATTTTGATTTTTACTTATAATTTTTACATATTAGTGATGAAACATATAAATGAGTGAAATAACGCATTAACATGCAAGTAATGAGTAGTGTTGTATTTAAAAGAAGGCAGAGGAAGTATGTTTCAATTCCTTGCCACCAAAATAAAAATAAAATATTCAAGATCTACCACAACCTTCTTTAAAGTCAAAATTTTTATTTATCACCATTTTCTTTCCATATGTATTATGTGGTCATTGCATAATTAATTTCTATAACTTATTTTGCTTTTTCATTGATTTTCTTCCTTGAATTGATATTTTACCTTTCTTGCTTTACTTTTTTCACTTATTTAAGACGTCAATTAAAATAACATACTCCCTTTTCCCAAAGTATAATTCACATCTTATGATTCTTGCTTATTCAAAAGAAATAGAAACATAATATTGTGAAGGTTAGTTGAATAAAAATGAATAAAATAAAAAGTGGGGATTAGGTTGATTTAAATGAATAGACAAAATAAAGATCGGATAAGGGAGATTAGATGATTGAAGGTGAAAGAAAAAATGATAATGCTAGATTTTTTTAATGATGGAATTTTGTTATTGAATGTGATTTAATAAAAATAAGGTCAAATTGTCAAGAATTACCAACCTAATAGGTCATTTTGTTAACAACTACTCGCTTAAAAATTTTATCAAAAAAATTATCCCTTAAATTTAAAAAGTTTGACTAGCACTAGCCCATTTTGGTTTTTAGGCAACAAAATCCTGCGAGTGGGGTCCACTTCTATATATTTCCTTCCAAAAATTAAGCACGAAATGACGAATCAGATAAGCCAAAAAAATTATATTTGTAACCCTAATTATCCAACTACAATGAAAAACAACAAATTTCCCCAATGTCGCAATATCCCCAATTTCTATTTCAAAATGAACCCTAATTTTGTAATCTTAAAACTTTAGAATTAGAATTCAAAATTGAACATCAATTTAGAAGCGTTACATATCTTTTAATTAAAACCCCAATTACATTCCTCTTCTTCAATTGACAAAATTTTGAAAATTTTGTGTTTTTAGGTTGAGCCGTTGCAAAGGGGATGATGTTGGTTGTTATATACGAAGGTTGGGCTTAAGTTTTGGAGGGAAAGTGTTCCCTACTAGCCGGATTTTATTGCCTAAAAACTAAAATGGGTTAGTGTCAGTCAAACTTTTTAAATTTAGGGGTATTTTTTTGATAAAAATGTTGAGCGAGTAGTTGCTGACAAAATAACCTATTAGGTGGGTAGCAGTTCCTGACCTTTTTATCTTCCTAATCAAAATGACCTTCTTCTTTTTTTTTTTTTTTTTTTTTAATAATTTTATCTTCTTAATCCTTTTCATAAATATTTTTGGAGGTTACATGTATTGACTGCCTTTGTTACTGTTGCTTTCTAATTTGACTAGTAACGCATTGTGACTTTATATAACCTCCAAAAATATTAATGAAAAGGATTAAATATATAGTCGTCGTTACATAATTGATTGCCTTCTTTCATGATGCAACATAATTTTCCTCCATCAATTTATTGATTTCCTACCTTTCTTAAATAACATCTTCATATATTTAAATGTGATTAAAGATCAATCACATTGGAAAAACAAATTAGCCTCTATGTCCTTCTCTACATAATTTTGGGGGTTAATATACTCTACTCCTTTTCTCCATCTACTCGTTGAAATTACAATCAATTCTCGGAGCAGTCTAGGCGTGATAACCAATACTATTCAACTGATGATGATTCAAGAATCAAGTCTAGTAGCCAATTTCCAGATAAGTTATTTATTGTTTTATTTTTAATATGGTAGCATTCTTAATCTAAAAGTAAATTGAATTTTGCTCCCACATTAGTTTGTATCCGTTCTCATTGTGAAATCAAATTAAAATGATTTAATCTTTCAAGTAATTAATAAAATTTAACAACCATAAAAACTTCATTAAAAATTTAGTATTTTCATAATATATTTATTAGTCAAAATTTAGTATTTTCAAAATATATAATTTCCTTAGGCCCATTCATTAATTAATTGTAAAATGTACATACAATCAAAGTTTGATTTTTTTTTCATCGTACATCCTAGAATTTTTAGTTGATCTAATTCGCCCTATACCCTAGGATTTTTTTTTTATATACACCATATACCTTTTAGTTCTTATAAAAATCCGACAAATACCCTTAATGACTACATGATAAATGAATTTTGATTAATTATACCTTTAAACCACCCTAGATCCCTTTCTCCACCCCTAAAACCACCTCTCCCTTCCCCTAACCCTAAAATCACCCTAGATCTCCTTCGCCCGCCCTCCCTTAATAATATATTTGGTTTTGGGGGTGGGGGAAAAGGGATGGTTTCAAGGAGTAAAGGAAGGGATCTGAGGTGGTTTCGTGGCATAATTAACTTTACTTAACTTTACGACCAATAGTCATGAAGAATATCAAGTGCTTTTTTGTGAAAACTCGAGGGTATATGGTGAGTTTAAAAAAGTGCAAGGGTATAGCGAATAAATTGAAAACTCGGGATTATATGGTGAAAAATATCGTTTAAGTTTTCCTTCATTCCACATATATTGCACCATGTTGATTATTACACTATTCAAAAATCTATTATGATTTATTTTAAATGAAATCATAGTCTAGCTTGTGAAGTCTTACTGGACTTATCCCGATTTATATTTTCTGGATATCAAATTTTAATAATTTTTATGTAATGAGAATTAAACATATCAAAGGTTAAAGTTACACATTGGGAACCATAAAAATCTATGTGGTTCATATTTTTTAAAAGTAGGAAGTATGATAATTATGCTACACTAACCGTTAGAATTTCTTCCTTTAAACATATTATTATTATTGTTCATCTTTATCAATTAAAACATATAATCCAATTAAAATGCATATAAAATCCCTCTTAAACTTCAAAAAATTTCATTAACAACATGTAATACAAGACAATTTCAAATATAACAACCACTTACTCACCTCTTATTTTCTTAAACCTTCTTAAAATTGGAAAACCTTATTAAAGTTAACTCAAATAAATAACTCTAACACCTCTATTTTTTTGTCAACTCTAACTTGGTGAATGCAAAATATTATACAGTTAATAATAAAATGATGTTCTTACTCTATTTTATTTTATCTTTTGGTATTTTTAATCTCATAATAATCTAGTAGACTAACACCGGTATCTAGAACATGTAAATATAGTCATTTTTATTTTTTTAAGGAAGCGTGGAGCATTTTATACAGTCAATTTTTATTTAAATGCTTTGTTTTCCACATATATAAGAAGTCGAATTTCAAATAGATCTTAAAAAATTTTCGTGTATTATTTTGTTTGTTAACTATGATACATAAAAGGGTACATTATCACTATACCATTATGAAACAAATGGTTTAATGAGGATAATGTAAAATAATTGAAAATATTTGACTGTTCAAAATTGAAAACATCTTGGGCTTATTAGGTGGGAAATATATCGTTATTAGACCAATAATAACTATAGAATAAGCTAAAGTGGATATTATGTGGGAAATATATTATTTCTGGTACCTATGAAATCTGCTAAAGTAAATCTATTGAGATTGCTTCCCATATTTGAATTTTTCTTCCCATTTTAATAAATAAATATCAGCGGTTAGATCACCATCTTTTTTAAAAAAAAAAAAAAATCAACGGTCAGATCATTCTTTATTCTCCTTTAAAAGCGATTTTAGATCTAGCTTTGTTATTTCACAATTATATTTTCATATACACATTAACAAAAAATAAGAGGGGAAAATGGGTCGTCGAAAGCTTGAAATGAAGAAAATAGAGAAAAGCTCATCAAGGTTGGTCACTTTTTCAAAGCGTCGATCAGGCGCTTTTAAGAAAGCAAATGAGCTTTCTACCTTGTGTGGAGCAGAGATTGCAATTATTGTCTTTTCTCCCGGAGGAAAACCTTTTTCATTTGGAAAACCAAATATTGAAACTGTGGTAAATCGATTTCAAAATAGAAATCAAAAACGAAGTAGAAGCCATGAAAATGGATCTCGTGCATCGAACAAGAAGACTCAAAAGCGAGTTCAAAAACTCAACCATGAACTCATCAATCTGGATGCTCAAGTAGAGTCTGAAAACCAAAAAAATGAGAAATTTAACCAATGGGGAAACAATTGTTTGTTTGAGGGGAAACAACCAATTGAACAACTTGACTTAAATCACCTGAAGATATTTAAGAGGCAACTAAATGATTTGTGCACCAATTCACATAGCCAGGTGATGGAATTTCAAGCATCGCAATCCTTATTGCTTTTGGCAAATATGGAGTAATTCAATTCTAGATGATTAGCGAAAAAAAACTTGGTTACTAAATAAATTACTATCTTAGTTCAGTAGAAGCCATGAAGGCCATGATCAATAAAGTTATTTAAATGTTTATTGTTTTTCCTTTGAATAGTAATATTGTAATCATAATTTTCATGAGATCATAATATATTTGAGTGTTGAATTTTAAGCTTAATTATTAGTTTTATTATAGATTTTATGATTCTACTTCCAGCAAAAGTATACTTTTCAAATTACATGACTACAATTATTAAAACAATACAAATAAGTACAACTTTTTTAATTATTCCTAACTTTTAAAATTATATATAATTGATATGTTACATACTAAACTTTGGTATTAAAATTAACATATACTCATTAAAATTGATTTGATAAAAAAATTGATACATGAAACATTAAATTAGCTATAGTTCATGCCATTCACAATGTTAATAACATATATATACATGATTTAAAATTTATTTTGTATACCATATTTTTCACAATATTTAGAAGAATTGACACACTACATCATTCATTTGAAATTTAGGTATCACATAATTATTACATGAGCATGTAAAGTTATAATGTGTAATGGCATTCATATTAAAATTACACCTAAGTGTTAGGTGTATCATGACAATTGCACATCCTAAGTCAATAATTGGTGAGAAAATGTTTTTAATGAAACTTTTTAATAATTACTACTAGATGATATGTTTCCTTTTTAGTTTGATTTATTCCCAGTTTTTAAGATATTTCATAACCTTTTCAATTAGGTAGGGTATTTCAATTTCCATAAAATCTTGATTCATAACTTAGTAGGATGCAATTTTAATTTCCATATCCTAAAGTTTTAGGCCCACTCTTTTCACCTTATGTTTGCTAAACTCAAATTATTTTAACTAAGTTAAAATCATTTGTTACAAAAATTAAATTTTTTTTTTATTGAAATTAAATTACTTTTACTAAACTTAAATTTTTTAACTAATTGTAGACACATGATTGTGTCCCCCAAAAACCAAACCTAGTGATGAGTATCTTTCACATCTTTGATTAACGATTCAGCAAAGAGTTGAAGAGTCTCGCGAAGTTCCCTTAAGCCTTGACCATATCCCTAACCTTACCTAAAATGTTTTAAACTAAAATCATTCATTTCGTCTCTTTAAACCCAAAATCATTCTTTTCGTGTCCTTAAATCCAAAATCATTCATTTCGTGTCCTTAAAATCATTCACTTCATGTCCAAGTCATAAAAACATCTCAACCAGATTATTTTGGTCCATAATCCCGGTCCATTCATTGCTTAGATGGATAGGGCTAGAAAAGCGCTTTCCAACGATATATTATAAGCTAAAATCTGACTTAAAACGAATAAGTTATGGCCAAAATACTAAACCGAGCCCAAACCGAACCTTGGTCCATCTTACCTACGACCCAATGATCATGTGAGGGTTTAAATATCTTATTCCCAATCCTAAATCAATTAACACTCTTTTAGAAGTTTCAAGAAAGTTCTACTTTATCCTTTCCATAAAGATAAAGATCAAAGAGTTTGAAATCGAATAAAACTTTTCTTTTTAATAATCCTCATCCTGTTCGAATTCAAATATGTTTGGATATAATTTGCATAGAAAACCCATCAGAAACTGACAGGCTAAAATCGTATCACCTAATCAAAAGTGGGAAACAGCGTTCTTCTATTCCTAATTAATTAATATAATCTAAATTATCAAGAAACAAATAAGGGTTGTTTGAAATAAACTAAGGAAGAAATCAAAAATAAAAAGCCTAGGGTCACAGGTTCACCAATAATTAATACTCTGGGATAAAATATAAGAATCAACGATTAATGTTGCAAACATAACATGATTAACAGGCTCTCGGAATTTATTAATCAACATAGATCTAACAGGCTTTCGCAATTTACTAGATCTAAGTTACAATTGAAAATATCCTTTAATATCAAATTAACATTTACTCGATTCATCAATTCAATATTGCTATAATATTACAATCAAATCAGATGTGCTCGATTCATAATCTAATTGTACAGAATTAAAACAATCCAATAAGAATTTATTATGCAATATCAATAATCAACCAAAATAATTCATCCCTTCATATTAATTATGGATCCCCCAAGAACCCTAGAATTAAACTACTCACGCATAATTAAAGCTAAACTAAAAGAAGCAATTAAATTAAGCATGATTAAAGCAATAATAATAAAACTAATAAGAAAGCAATAATAACAAAAATGATAAAAGCAATAATAAAACTATTGTACAAACAATATACTATTAAAACTAAAGTAAAACTAAACTAAAAATATAAGCTTGAGAAAAACAAAGTATAAAAAAAACTAACTAAAACTAATCTAAGGAAAATCTCTCCTCCAACCTACGTAGTGCCTCCCTTTTTATAATAAAGAGGAGTTCTAATCAAGGTCAACTTCTAACCCGCTACACAAAAGTCGCGTACTACTACCAGCGTCCATACTAGTGGGCTTTTAATTATATCTAAGCCCAAAACTAAAATAACCGGCTAAATACAATCTGGAAATCATACTCGCCCGACCGGGCCTTGGGTCGCCCGATCGAGCTCGCATGGTTGGGGTTGTAACTGGGCCTCGGCATTCTCCACTCCCATTTGCTCTTGGACTTGGGCTTTTAGAGTTCTCTAGCCCAAATTTCTTCACTTGTTTGGTCCATATTTCGTGTGGGAACTTTGAACCTCTTTTACTTAATCGAGCCCTTAATCACCGAACTAAATTTCTCTAACTCGGCCTTGGGATTAAAATATCCGGTCATAAAATACGATCAAACTCCAATATTTTCGTAGTGGCTCAATAAGCTCGAGAATTGTCATAAATCTAAAAATTCCTACAAAATAAAACCAACTCTACAAAAACACTAGAAATCGTATATTAGTAATAAAAATAGCTTTATAGAGCTCAAATAAGGACAAATATGACCATGGGACGGGGAATAAAAATATATATAAAATAGACTCATCAAACTCCCAAGCTAAACCTTTGCTTGTCCCTAAGCAAAAGCAATGAATAAATAAATCAATACTTCACCCCAAATACAATATAAATCAATAAGTACGATTCAAGGTAAATCCGATAAACATGTATCAAAGTCAATCAATCAAATCCATCCAATTACCAATCTTCCCAAACAATTGTCAAACATAGCAAACCACAAGAGCATATAGAATTCAAGACTAGTGCTCACACACTCAACTCTCATTTATGTGGCGAGTAAAAGATGTACTCGATCGCTCTCCAACCACCCCTTTATATGTGAACAGTGCCCTCCCAACTCACGCACTCGTGTGTTTAAAAAGACATACACTCAACCTAATTGTCGACTCGGAATATGTCAAATCATTCTTTACATTGATAAACAACTAATTTCACGTTCATACAACTCTATGCACAATGGTCGGAAGGTCTTTAAAGCTTGTAATGTAAGGTTAGGGTAAAAGGATAGGAAATATTTGGGAAAATATGATAGCAAAGCCATGCTTAAGGAAGCCAGAATCCTAATGAATAAAACCAAGGTCAAAAATAAATAATAACCAAACCATCTCCAACATAACTCAACTAAACTCTACAAAAATTCACCAAACAACTAATCCAACACTTCACAATTTTTTCAACACTTACAATAAATCACTCATAAAAATAAACATCATGAAGCTAGAGTGATACCAACTTTGAACTCTTCTTTTCTTTTGAGCAACCTTCATTTAGAACACTTGAGCATTAACAATTTTTCCTTTTTGCTAATTTTTTTTTCTTTTTATCTCACATTGGAATTTTTTCAACTTTTGAACACCTTTTTCAATTTTTTCAATCCACAAAATAAGAATAACAAATAACTTCTCAAATCCACCCACATCGTGCAAATTATGTGCACACTACAACTCCCTCACCTCACTCACTATTAGCTCCCCCAAGCCAAGCTTGAAACTAGTAACCAATGGGGCTTAAATAGGCTTGTAATGTGGCTTAGAAACAATAAAAAGGGCACAAGCAACAACATGGGTAGCAAGAAGGGAACAAATGTATCTAATATCATATGGAGGCTTTCTAAAAGAACAAATGTCTTCGTCCTCCTCAATGTGCATAATAATGAGTCATACAAACATTACTCAAAGTTAAAAATCAATACTCAATTTCATTGACATACCAGGAACTAACACACAATTCCTTACCAAATCAACTAGTCAAGCACTATATATATTCACAAGTTTGTTAGGAAAAATTGACACATGTTAAGATTTCAAAGCAATCAAATATCAAATCATGATCACAAATCTACAATATTTATCATCATAACCAAGAATAAAAACAATTTTGAAATTTTTTTATCAAGGAGCACAGGGAATCATGATTCATAATTCATTGGAACGTATTTTTGGAATTTTTATTAGTTTTAAAGCAATAAAAACTAACCTAGAAAGCAATAAAATCTAGACTAAAACACCAAAGAAAAAAAATAATAAAAAGAGAGAAGGTGAAAGATATACCATGCGTACACAAAAACCTCCCCCCCAAGCTAAATCAGACAATGTCCTCATTGTCTTAAAGACAAGCTAGTAGTTAAGGTGACTACTCCTCATCATCATCACCACAATAATGTTACCAAATATCCGAGGATTGCAATGCATCACTTTGGAACAAATTTGGGCAAGAATGAAACAAAGTGTTTGTGGAAAAAGATCAAAATCAAGTCAGGTGCACTCTTTCGATCATAAATTTTGATATATAAGTGATAATGCGGTGATTCTAATTGCGTTGGAAATTAGACTTGAATAGATTTCCAATGATAGGTCACACGCAAAAATCCAATAAGAAACACAAAATTTATGGCCTGTCAAAGTTGAGCAGTTTCGTTGATCCGTAAGCACGCCCGATCGGGCCAAGCTCTACCCGGTCGAACCCGATTGCAATTCAGCTTTCTTCTCCTTTTAAATCAACACCTTTATAGCTCAAAACCTACACAAAAAGAAACTCTCACAAGCATAAAATACACTCTCATTACCTCTCTAAACAAAACAAATAAAAACACACAAAAATAAGAAAAAACCAAGCTAAAATAAATAAAATACGGGTTGTCTCCCGCAAAGCGCTAGTTTATCAAGGTCCTGCTCGACCGTACTCATTCTCTCAATCGGAAGA